GTGCTCATGGGCGGCGGTAATTTCTTATCATCAGGTGAGCCTCAACCTCGTTTGTCCCCTATGCTATAAAAGTTAGATTTGACAAGCTACATAGAGTCAATAGCCTCCATTACTAATTTCCTTTTTCCGAGAAAGGTATTTCCTGATAGTGACAAGGTAGTAGTTAAGTTTTCCCTTTGCAAATTGTTTATCCAATATTAAAGAACTTGTAGAATGTCACGATAAAACTTTTTCTCTATAGGTATAAATAAACTACATATTTATACAAATATATGTAGATACATTTATAATGCAATCACTTAAACTTTGGTAGGTACTCTAACTAACTAACTATTACTTTCTCTGATTAAATTTGTTGAAAGTTTAGCGACTGTATTTCCCTTAAGACTGTGTGAGTTTCACTTTAATAATATCTAGGTATGCTTCTAATTGTTTTACTAAAAATTATTTTTGCTATAAAAAAATAATTCTGCAATACACTGTCATTCTTATTTATTATTTTTTATATACTTACTTAGAATGGCAAACAAGCAGATGGCCCAACGGATGGTATGGAGAAATTCTCTTCTACGTACACTTATACTATAATGATTATTGAGAAACTGATGAATTTCATAGTAGAATTAGGGATCAGTAATTGTTACAAACTGTTTTATATTGGTTTTTTGTCTAAGCTTTTTGTATAATATGTACTTATCACATTTGACATTCAGTTAGTAACAATTTTGCGACTATCGGTGTCTATCACTGTATCTTTTGTATTTTTGTTCTTGATCTCCTTTGAATTCATACAGTTCCGTATACTTATATCAAATGAAAAACATGTAAAATTTAAACATTTCATTTTATTACAATTACATCTTTGGTAAGTACAATGGCTTAAGGGTTTCCGTGGCCCCGGCGTTTGGTTCTTTGGTACCTACTTCTTGGTGTTCAGCTTACAATATCAACGACATGTGTCAATATTTTACACATATAATTAAGTATACGATTAATAATACAATTGTTCGTGTATTGAATAGCATTGGTAGTATGCATTTATAGAACTTACATATTAAATAAGGGAAATTCCAATACATAGGTGTAAAACAAACTACACTTTTGAAAAATCATTACTTACATGTGATTTATGTATGAATATTATAATTCTTCTCAAAATAATTACTCGAAACTGTGAAATTAAGAAATAAATAAGAATATGGAAGATAAAAAAATATATACTTAAACACAAAAAGGTTCATAGTATTTCCACTTGATTGAAATTTTTATAGTTACAACTTCGTTTTGATTTTTATAAATAAAAAGAGCGCCTGATAATTAATTTTACCACATCTCACCATGTTATAAAAGTAAGTTCCTATCAATTTTTTATTTATCAGAACAAGTATTTCAAATCATCGAGTACCATTGATAAATAATACAAACATAATAAAAAGTAAACATTTCGTTCCTTGATAGAATTAGAATTACATATAACTATTGCAATTATACCATAATCATTGAAATATTATATATTATAGTAAACACCGTACTTGATGCTGCCTCGATTGAATGCGGCATCAGCACTGCAATTTGTTCAGCTACTCGCAAAACACTAGTTTTGTGTTGTAAAGGTACAATTAATAAAAAGTAAGTTTACCGTATAGTATCGTTAGTTTCGAGATCTCCAAAAACCCTCATTTAAGGAGAAATAAATCATTGTCTCCTCTATACTCTAGTAGGTATAAATATGTAATAAATAAATACTTCAATGACCAAGATCGAGTCATATTGAGTTCTACAAAAAATATGACGCATTACGTGCAATTCCTAGATATTTTATTATCACTATTTAATAAAGTACTCATATAATATATAAGTACATTGGTGTTTCTAAATTGGTATGTTTTTTTTAGTAATAATATTTCAACATAAATGATAATATAACATGAATCAAATGAGTTTACATAAATTACTTTTTTGAGTAAACATTTCTAACAATAGTAATAATAATATATTTTTTGACTGCCACATGGTAGATTAGATTATTAATTTAATATTTCGAATTGTGATCCAAATTATACTTGAAGAACGATGTCGATATACATCAATTCACATTCACAATATATGTAACAAATGGCTAATTAATAAAAATATATTATGAAAATATGCTTTAACCGAAATTTCATACAGCCTGATGAGGTTCTGAAACGTTTACTACAGGAAATCATATACACTGATATGAAATAATATAAAAAAATACATACGCTATAACCAAAAATAACTTTACCATAAGATAGGATAAAAATATCGTCCATATGGTTTGTAAAAATAGTAAACTAATTTGTATTGCATGCCCAAATGTATACTTACTTATAATAACAACTATTAAAATCAAAATATCCATGGAAAATATTCTGATTTTTACATATAAATATCTTTGGGAACATTAGTAACACGTTTATTACTATACAATATTACATTACGTACAAAACATTTATTTCAACATACCTATCATATCTATTATATAATAAGTTAATTGCTAATAGCCGTAAACTATAATATATCCAAAATGTATTCTGGAATGATTGCTACATTATTAGACTTATGTTATTCGAAATTTTAAAGTTAACATTCCCTTAGATATAACAATAAGTAAAACTATTTCGCAATGATCTATTTCGTATATAGAAAATCACAATTTATGTTATTATTCCTTTACACATAAAGTTACTCAGTAAGATAAGGGAGTCTAATAATGTCACTATATATAAATAATGTAGGTATTTACTTTGTAATAAAATCCGCCAAATTTAATGGACCTCTCGCTCTTAAAGAACTTACTTGTAGATCGGAATCGGACGATTATACAAAGTAACTCCTATTTTACTCGTGCTTAACGTCGTCCTTAGATTTCAATTTTATATAGTAAGACTGCCTAAAATTAAGAAATATCCAGATGTCCTTTTGATTTTAATTTACAAACCTATTTTAACGATATAAAATATTATTGCAAAATACAAAAAATATTAATTAAAGTCGATAAAAAACAAACTGCTATTATTACAAAATAAGGATTAAACTAATACGGAAGTAAACCCACTCAATTGCAAAATGAAATATCAATATCGTTAAAGAATCGGCAAAGGTATCGCGTAATACAAAAAATAACCTCTTTTTTCCAATCTCTTGATAAAATTTGATTTTCAATAGTAGATATCAGCACTTACGACTTCCTGTGTTTACTTTATTACACCAATAAAAAAATATAAATTGAATTCGTTCCATTAATTCTATTTCCTGAAAACGTGATCATTTATCATTGTATTTATTTTCTATATTAACGCGTTTATCAGCACCTTCTTCGATTCAATAATATCATATCGAAACACTATGTCTTTGACATCCATCTTATTTACAATAATATCACACATTGATATTGTACATATTGTACCAAACATCTGTCTTACTGTTAATACGCATTGCAACATATTTTTTTCCGCAAACTTCTTATTTTTTCCGAAGTATAAGTCAATACACTTTCTTAGTTGCGGAAAGATTGCGCGGAAACATCGAGTATGCGAGCAAGTTAGAAAACAACAGATTTACGGAAATCTACTGACGTTAATAAAATAATGTGTCAAGTACATAACGAGTTCATAGGGAAAACGTTATCTAAGTAATTCCTTTGTATGTAGTATGTCACTTTGTAGTTGGTAATATGAGTGCGAATATTGTGTTGTATTTTCTTATAATTTTGTTGACTAAAAGCATTGTCATCTCACAAAATTAAAATTATTGTCAGATGGTGAGTTGGTGACTTATTTTTGGTATACGACAAATATTTTATTAATTTTTTGGAACTTCTAACTAAACAGATAAATAATGTATAATAATATTCCCAATTAATATTGTAAAGGCTACACATTCGTAATTAATAAATGGTTAAAGGTTGATTTGAATACAATAGAAGTAATGGTAACAAATTATCGATCGTACATCCATATCGAAATGTCGATAAGATTGTTCTTTGAAATCAATAAAAACACATATTAGGATAAGCCAACATTGTTTAAAAAAAACATAAGAATAATTTTGAAATGCAATGAGAACCAATCATACGCATGACCCATTAACGAAATAGACAAAACTGGTTCCTTAAATTATCTGTTGACTACTTTACTATGTTTTTAGCAATAATAAGTTCATGAAGCGTCGTCTATGTTATTCACAGTGCTTCATTAAAGTCAGGTACTTTGCAATAATTAAAAAAAGAACTGATAAAAGAAGAAAATCATTCACAAATCTTACCCGTAAAATTCGTCATAACCGCTCAATATATAAATAAAACAATTGAGTTATTGTAGTGCATAGCGAAAAAATCCTAATCGCCGAATATTGCTTAAATACATTTATTACTTATTACAAAAATAATTTCATAATATCGAATGAACAAAAAAAAAACTATTAATATATTAAAAAAAATTATTTTATTTTTTAAATGAAATTCTAACGTCTTTAAATTTCCGTAAAATTATTTACAGATACTTTTATGACTGCATCTATTATTAATTAGTTACCATATATTTAATTACGTACTAGGTAATATCTTAATATAATATAACTATGAGTATGTCATAAAGAGGTAATTAATAATAAAGCTTCTCAAAATCAGTTCATTTAAAATACAATTCGTAGAATTAATACAAGTGTACAGTAGCCGTAGTATTATTACGTCACTGAATAATTCATATTACATGGCGGTTATAATTTGAACATATAACTTAAATATATAAGGATCTCATAAATTTCCAATTATTATTCTCATAAAGTATTAATCTCAATTTTGAATGCGACCAAATAGAGAAATTTTCCATTATTGAATCACATAAACGTAGTATATAACAGTAAATTTCCAAAATAATTGCGGCTAAACAAATGACGATAGTTTTTTTTAAAGTAATTAATATGAATATGTTATTAGATCACAAAAGGGAAGCACATTATATATATAACACATATTGTAAGTAAAAATTTTTAAAAATACAAATTAACTACTAAAAATAATAAAGAAACTATCAATATCAAAAGTCACGAAAATAAATAGAAATTGCACTAACTTACTAATTTCTCCGGAAGACAAATGCATTGTTTTTGTTTGTTGATTGCTGCTTGTCATTGGTCGAATGTCGTAATGTTATTTATCATTAATTTTGATTATATTATTTTAATACAGTTAAATATTTGAGTACTTTTTCCTTTATAACCTCCTTATATTACAAAACACATTTACCCGGTTTTAATACCCTTTATGTGCGAATCCTATTGAGACATTATCTAAATGTATACGAGTATCTTATTAAATGGCGAAATTTAATATCTTTCCAATAATATGCCTACAAAGTATCTTTTTCCTTATTATTATAATACTATGTCTATATACAAGTCTATATACATTTGAAGATACATCTTATGAAGATAATACTTCTTCGTCATTATGCTACAAGTCTAGTTCCACATTTTATCTTACTCTTTCTTTTCCAATTTAGCACAAATAGCGGACGGCTCTCACTTTCTTTTTCTCTAATTTCAAATACTACAAAATCCATTTCACATACAACAAAACACTATCGAGTATTCATACATCTTCTTGAGTATTTTTCCATTTCACTTTTTTTTCAGATCTCCTAAATGATTTATTAAAACTGTTCTTTATCCTCATTCCTGTAACCTCTGTCATTTCTCTAACCTGTGGACTACAGGTGACTAAATTTTTATATGCCTGCCTATATTCATTAGACATTACCACGTAAATTATAGGATTGATGCACGTCGTTAGATACAATAAAATATAACTAATAATTTTTAATACTGGATGTGGTGTGAACTCGAGGAAGATCTTTGTAACAGATATTGGTAAATGGCATATACAAAACGCAAGCATAATAGCCATTATCATTGTACGCAGTTTTTTGTCTTTTCTAGTTGGTAAAAGCGGCTTTGGTTCTGTTCGTGTCGTGTTTGTAAATGCAAACTTAATCTTTCTAATTGTTTCATTACTACTTACTGATCGTTGGCCTGCAGGCATTTTTCTATCATCGTCGTCTTGTGTGCAACTTTCTGCACCAGAACACGAAGAATTCTCCAATGTTGGAGAGCACAGGCAGTTCATACGTTGAGAATATATCCTCTGTGAAGCGTTTATACTTGTAGGCCTATTGTCTAATACGGAATCTCTTGATTTTGAGTCTGATGATATAATTTCCGTCGTGGGTCTGGGGCGTAAGCGCAAAGATGGACGTGATCTTTTGCCTACCTTTTTGACTATCCAAAATATGCGAGCGTAGCATATGATAATGGCCAAACCGGGAAGTAAAAAGGCGCCGATGAATAGAATTTTCTTTGGGGATCTGCCATGCTGGTCGGGTACTATGGTACACGATCCGATGCTTGGCTCCAAACTGAAGCGGCCCCAAGCTTCAAACCACGTTGCTACTAATGCACCGAATGAAAATATCCATATTACTGCCACCATCAGTATCAAATTCCGTTTTGTGTATAGCCTGTTGAAACAAATAATATAGATTAGTGTTAAATTATATATAAAACGTAAGAACCTTAAAGTTGAATATTTAAACGTTGTTCTAACGTTTAATCAAAGCCATTTAACAATTTAATTTCACAAATTTCAAATCTTGTAAATTAGCAACTTGATTCGCAGGTATAATTTCGCGAACTTCTTGCTTTCCTCAAGTCTCTATTATTATTAATATTCAGCGCCGTCTAAGGCCTAACTTCAATTATACATTAACCTACTTGAAGGAATTTCCGTCAGATCAGTAACTCCCCGTAGGTAATACTATTATTCTGCGGCTTTTGCGATTAGTATAATTAAATATACAAGATTTCAAGCAGTGGCCTGGTGGTGGTAGTGGTATTGCCATAATGAATAAAAACTGACAATAATAAATATTAAAAAAAGTGAAGAAAGAAATGACATTCGATAAAATTTGATCATAAGCAAGAGAGAGAGAAGCTATTGCATAGATGTATTTTTTTTGGTAGGGATAACTTGGACTGATAAATAGCATAAAGAAATGTTACAATAGAGTATCTATTGGACTATTGCTTCTTTCGTTATGTAGTATCCTAATTTCACATTCCCACTTAATCATTTTGGCTGTCTAACTTCAAATAAAGAAAACAGTATGAGAGAAAAACACAACAATTGAATATTTAAAGTTTACTGAATATTTAAACGTTTGATGCCAAAACAGTTACAATATACAGTTTAATTAGAAAATATTAGTATATTACTGTATTCATATACCAATATAATATTTGCTAATAAACACAAGACAAAGAACATTAGATACTACACAATCAGTAGTGTACTCTATTGTGTTAATGGGAACCGAGATATGTTTACGTTAGAACTTTGTTACTTTTAGTAGTGTATGTAGGTTCTATAGAAAAATTAGTCGTTCAAAGAGCGGATTAAAAAAAAGTGATAAAATATTTTTTAATATATTAGTAATGACCTAGTACAGATATAAAAATTATTATGATAATGATTTTTAATTATGAATGTCAATCAAGCAAAAGTTCATAGAAAGGGTAGAAGCCAATGGTACTCGTACTCTATCAAAAGGGATCTCTCTGGCACTTATATATAAATAAAATAAAATTTTAATTATAAATTACGAAAAATTTAATTATAATCTTACCTAGGATAAAGTAGAGGATGAGAAATCATTATATATCTATTAATTGTGATGGCCAAAATGGTGAACAGTGATACGGCAACGAGCGCATATCTCACCATCGGAAACAGGCGGCATAATGTTCTTCCATGTATCCAATATTCTATCCAGAAAGTAGATCCAGCCAGTGGTAGATTGAAACAGCAGAACAGTAGATCGGAAATAGACAAATTTATAATGAACAGAGCGGTCGCGTTGCGCACCTGTAATAAGGGAAAAAACATTCATTTACGTCATTCTCCTTTTTCTGATGTACGCAAGTAAATGGTCATCTAGGAAAACCTATTGTAAATTGTCATGTTTTATTGTATTCATACGATTTTATTAGGTAAAGGTTTATTAGTTTTGTATTATTCTATATTGACGTCACTTTGTATGATACACTGTTAGTTTATAATCTGACTCGAAAAATTGTAAATTGTCAAGAAATTGAACTAAATAGCTTAAATACAACATGTTAATTTTGGATACTTTATCTATTCATGCGAAACCGTTAAATTGTATACTGGCTATAGATATATAACTATTAAGACTTGCCTGTCATGGTTTACAATTTTATAAGTAATACAATTGTTAGATTGTGAATCTAGTAGATATGTAAGAGCGTTCATAATTTATCGATAGTTTACAATGATTGATTAGCTTCCGAATTTAGTGATATAAGGTTTACAATTGACGATTCTGTATTAAAGGCAACCATTACAAAACATAAATAAAAAAGTAAATATGTTTCTCAAATTCTGCCACTATAGTAGAATATCGCTGATAGTTAACCAACAACGATCTTGCAGAGGAAAAACCTGAAATTGATATTCTTTTTGACAATCACTCCGAGTTCATAACTAAGCTCAAAAGTTGACGTTCCTTGTCACATATGTTTTATTGTATTATTGTTAGTAGCATTCAAGTTTAAATTTAATTTATTAATTAATTTTATTGACATTGTAATAGTAGTGATATAATCTTGTAACGTAAAGCATGCTGTGGTTACCTATAATTATGAGTAGAACAGTTAGTTTAAGAACATTAGAATTGTATAGAATGATAACAATTTTTTTATTGCTGTATCTTATGTTGGTAATCCTTAAAAATAAATAAATAAATAAATAAACAACCTTACGAGAAATCTAAACGGTAAATATAGTGTTCACAATAATATGTTGACGTGGATAAACTTCAAGTATATGTAATAACATATGTAATACCTCAATTTAAAAAAAAAAGTGGCTTGGTGATTTAGTACTGTCTTACTTTATGATAGTGTCTGTGTTACCGGACAATACAAACATTTGTATTCATGAGTATATTTGCTTCTGTTCGTCTGAGTGTTTGTTTATGTATATTATGTATATATATTTGAACAAATGTATGTTTATCACTGGTTTAGTACTCATTGCATAAGCTCTACTTAGTATGGAAATCAATGGTGCTATATGACTTATTTGAGTAAGTAACTTCATGATTATTTATTATATTCAGATAACTTTAATCGTCGTACTGAAAATTTGTCAATACTGTAAAAACTGTACTGTAATAAGCTGTAATTTGCTGACAACAAATAGTAAGTTACAATTACTCCCAATCAAAGATAAAAACACATTTTTGTGTTCATCATGCCGGTCGGTTCGCACTAGTCCTATCAATGACCGTTAGAGTAACAGTAAACCCTTTTGAAATCAATCTGTAAATATATATACATTCGTGCAAAAATTTACGTCAGAGAATTTAATGTGTACATTGATATTTACACGTTTGCACCGAAATATATTTCAGTAGAAACATTTGTTGTGATATTAAGCAAACAAACATGTCTCTCAACACGTTTATGTTTAATAAAAATAATATATATATATATATAAATAAGACTTATAACCATAGTACCTACAATCCAAGCCAAAAACTGTATTTATATAAACTTGGTATATTTCTTTGTATATTAAGAAAATATATAAGAAGCACCATTTAGTTTGGAATTACAAGGCGATTTGTTTAATTAAATCTATTTATTAATCTATGCGTAGTTTACGATATTTGTTGTATCTTCTAAATAAGATAACTACTTGTAAAAAATGAACATTGTTGTGGTTTTCTTGCGAAAAACATATTAAAATGTTATATGAATTCATGTAGACACATTATTATGTAGATAAAATGTAACTACACATTCAATTTTAATATTATAAACAAATATTTCAAATCAAACGAAAATGAGCGTTACGATAAAAACAGTTGGTATATATTCGTTCAGAGCGTTATTCTGACAGATGCCCTTCTTTTGCTGTGTATTCTATGAACTTTGTCCTGTAAACCCCTAAGGTAAAGCCAATCAAATTATTAGAGTGGAACAATATGACATATATTATTGGCATATATCGTCACCGTCGCGAAAACATCTGAACAATACACAGAGTGAAAACTTTTCGTCCAGTGCTCATTCGATAAATTTGTAACCATTGCGTAGACATAGGAGAACTATAGTCAATTCTGACGATATTCTACTACAATATAATAAGTATATATACTATTATGTGGTGAACATTTTAAATGAAAAAGATATATAAATTTAAAATTTCTGAAAAAGTAGATTCAAAGCTCATTTATGTTCAATTTGCATCAGTATAATTATAATCAAAGCAATTATTGCACAAAGATCGATGACCCTTATTGAGGGCTTTTGATGAAGTTCAACGTTTTTAGATATATTGCGCTATACCACAGACAATATTTAACACAGGTTAATATTATTACATTTCAATTGTAGAAATAAATAGAAAATATTAATCTAATTAATTTTTTTTATATTGTTTAAATTTTAATCAATAAGCTTAGTTTCACGTTCATTTTAACTCAAAAATATAATTTTAAAAGCAACGGATAAGTTTTTTTTATTTTTTATTCTTACATTTATTTAGGGACTTTTATCATAATATGATAATGCCAGTCCCATCGTATCTTATTACTAATCTTATCTTCTACTGCACAATGAAAATAAAAATTTTGCTGGCGATGATACAGGATCAGATAGTATACCGTGGTACATACCAACATCAAGCCGATTCAGTCCAAATTTTTTCAAAAACAATTCCCTTTTAACAGCGTCTCGGACACACTCCATTAATATGTGATGCAGATCTTCTATAGTATTGCATGTTTCGCAGTTGGGGGAATTCGATTTATGCATTAAAAAGGCAAATGAATTTAATGGATAATGTCCGGAACGCAGCCTTAATGCTGTGTCAATTAATTTCCTATTGTAGGATAAGTTTTTGCTCAATCGTTTAGGTTGAATTTGTATGGCAACTGAGCGGTAGAACAAAAAAAAACTATTGCATAGCGCTTAAAATAAAGCTTATTTAGAAGCGTGTAAAGAGTTATTATATTTTAAAATTTACCTTTTTACAACGAGCCAATGCAATGATGGTGATTATATTCCCAGGTATTCCGATCAACATGAACAACGCGCAGCACACCGTAGCAAACTTCAGCAAGCCCTCAGGATAGTTCTTGAACAGTTCCACAGCCGCTAGCTCTTCATCAGAGCCATACTCGTCAAGACCAAGTACACTGCTACAGTTGGTGGAATTCACTATCGAACCGTTTGCAAAGCTCATTACTGCAGCCATTATAACTCAATAAACGCTCATCAATCGCGCGTCACATGTCCACAAACATCGCACTATGAGTGGATTACAATTTACACAAAACGTTCGCTTCTGGCATTACGATGATTATTGTTTACACGATTTTTCCCTAACTGGTTATGAGTCAAGTGAGGTGGACCGACATGGACGCGCCTGCGGTTGATAAGCGCTCAGACTTACGTCTGCCGAGCTCACTTTATTTTTTTTAAATACATAACATTATTGCTTTCCAACATTATTGTACCATTCTCTTTGGCCTTTGCCACAATTTATTGCTAGTCTCTGGTAAATACTATTTTTACAAACAAAAATATACAGGCTGATAAATTAATGCATTTAGTACATCTATCTCATTTAACATTTATATATAATCATACCGTACCTATAATAAATAAATTACGATAACTAAAACACTTATAAGTTTACATGGTATATCTTGATGGCTTAAACATTAGGTATCGATGTATCGTCTATACTTATAAACTAATCAGTAATATATATCTGAAACTTTTTAAACACCCTCTATTAGCACAGTCTCGGACGGCTCACTTTCTTTAACTACAGAGTTCGATACACGCAGCACTCGATGCAACTTTAAAGTTCTACAGTCTACAATCTGACGAATGCGTGTTTGTTGTCACCATGTTCTGAAGTGGTGCGGTCGGTAATGACTAGTCACGGCGGGCGCTTCTCTGATGCGCCATCGCCGGACGAACGTCACGCCCATCGCCTGCACATCAGCAGGTTCTTGTAGGCCTGCCGGTATTCGCTCGACATCACTACATATATTATGGGGTTTATACACGTAGTCAAATATATTAAGATGTACCCGGCGATGTTCGCCGCGGGGTGAGAGGTGAACTCCCGAAAAATCTTCGTCAGAGTGATAGGCAGGTAGCACACCCAAAACGAAAGCATAATGGCCATTATCATTTTCAGTAGCTTTCTATCTTTGTGAGTGAGACGAGGTGGTCTAACCGATGCTGGGGATCGTTTCAATGCTACTGCGGCTTGTCGAAGTCGCTTCGTTGTCTCGCCGCCGCTTGGCGTTCGAGGTTTTGCATCTAGGGCACATTCTTCATCATGCCCGTCCAATGTGTCTACACCAGAAGATGATGACCGTTCAGGTGCTGGTGTTGGTGGACAATGTAATACAGGTGGTGCAAGTAAAGCTCTTTTAGGAGGAGCCACATGGTTTACTCCATTTTCAGGACAAGGTGATCTTTCTAAAGCGGTTGACGCTGATCCGACTGCCGAGTCTTCTAATATTCCTCGAGGTCGCCCGCGAGCTGGAGCTCGAGATTTTCTAGCTGCCTCTCGCACTATACAAAATATTCGAGCGTAACATATCACTATAGCTAAGCAGGGAAGCATGAAGGCGCCGACGAAGAGAAATTCTTTCGGTGATCTTTTATTTTGGTCCGGGAGTATAGAGCAAGATCCGATAGTGGGATCTAATCCGAATCGACCCCATTTCTCTAGCCATGTTGCTATTAGTGCACCAAATGAGAAGATCCACGTACTAGCAACCATTACTGCAAGATAGTGTCTTTTATATAACCTGAAAAACAAAATATTTTAAAAAAAACTTTATGTTAATAATACTTTACGTACATATTTTTGAGATATAACCGTGTGGGCAATTAACTATATTGTAGTAATTTAATAACTAAATTAAAATAAATAAATAGGCTGTAAGGTATAGATTACTTTTTGTTCATCGCATTAGGTACATTTAAAAATCCCTTTATTCAATACAATTGTTTTTTTTATTAGATATACATAATATATGATGTGTTTAATATTTGATTAAGTTTAATACTTAATTACAATATTGGAATATTGTACATGAGTTACTTGTTCTTGGCCAGTTAAACAAAAGATACGGTTTGTTAACTGTTACATAGAGTTAGATTTAATTCAACAAATCTTTCATTAAAGATTCTGAATTTTAACACAGATTGAAATATAAATTCTTGATTTAAATAAAATATATAGTCACATTTGAAAATTTAAAGTGACGTATATATTTCCGGAGGTAAAGTATATACAAAGTTCTCTACTGCTAATAAAGCAAACTTTGTATATACTATACTAAGACCTCAACGCCTTAATTTCCGCCGCCATAGAGCGTACTCGTAAGCTATGTTTCGGTTTATAGCATGAGATATAGCAGTGAAATTACAAGGTACGGGGATATAACACCTAAAATGCATGAAAGGTTGTCACATACCGATGTCAATGGTAGTCATTTATATAGACGATGGTTGCTTTTTCCTTCAAGTTGACTGACAGCTTGTTTATCATTTCACGACCTCGGTGGTTTGAGCACACCGACTTACTTCCTATGGTCGCGGGTTCGATTCCTTGCACTGCCCAAACACTTATATTCATGAGTATAAATGTTTTTATCGATCTGGGTGTTTTCTACGTATATTATTATGTGTATATTTAAAAAAAAAGTATCCATGTATTTCTATCAGTTGTCTAGTACCCATAACACTGCTCTGCACAGCTCTGCATAGCTTGTGACTATATGGCGCTAAATAATATAATAATATCTCAGGACCACCCACAGGTCCTGAGATATTATTATATTATTTCAGTTATACAAAAATGTTATATTATACCTACTTTGGATAAATTCTTGGATGTGAAATCATCACGTATCTATTTATTGTGATGGCAAGGACAGTGAATAATGATACTGCAACTAGCGCGTATCGGGCTAGTGGAAACATCCTACAGAGAGTCCTTCCGTGGGCCCAAGACCGCCTCCAGAAAGTAGACGCTGCCAGTGGAAGGTTAAAGCAGCAGAAGAGGAGGTCAGAACATGACAAGTTCATGATAAACACTGCGGTTGCGTTCCGGACCTGTAAAACATCATATCGTTATTGTACGCTGGCGGTCACTCTAAAATAGCAAAAACAATCTTCTGTCAATACATTTAATAACATTAACATTTATTTGCAACAAATAGGGTACACAGAAGTTGATCAATAGTTATTGGATATTCCACATATCAGGCCATTTTTTATGATATTATAATAATAAGGACAAATACATGAACATAAATGAAATAAGGATAAACATATGAAATGAACTTTTTGTTGAAGAACACAAAATTATATTATAACTTCACGACTGTTATCGCATAGGCTCTATTCAGAGTTACAGCCAGCTGTAGATGACGTGGTCTTGTAGTAAGCGTGACACTTGACATATCCACATTTTATATATATTTGAATGTACTGCCGTTTGTCTGAGTAATTCTGTTTATTATCTTTGTTTTCATTAGAAACAGTCATATTTCACATTTCTGACTAACTAAGTCAGAAATGTGAATTAACACACGAAGCTTCTTTAGTGTCGGTACGGTTTGAACTCGCTACTAGCGAGGTCCCAATTGTAGTAATAAACCACTAGTGCAAGGTGGTCTGTGGTTTTTGTATTCACTTAACATGTAAAATAAGTGATTTTTGACATTCTCATTTTTGATTACTTTGTTGTGTACTATACAAAGAACATAGAGAGATTATTTTTAGTAATAGACACGAATAAAAAAAAATTATGCATGTGTTTATGACAAGCACTTTGATAAATCACAAAAAGAAAAATGTGGGGACAGGTCCAGACTTTATGCGATATGGATATTCTACATATATGGAAATTGTTATAATTTATCATTGATCTAAAGAGGACGAATGTGTTATATGTTCAATATATATATTCCCTGCTAATTATTTAAAGAAAATACACAACAGTTTTTTTACTACACAAGATTACATAAAGTGCGTAAGCCGTATCCTTTTAAGTTTATATAAACCTGTATTAGGATGAGACCGCTCTTCCTAGAGATATTAACGTTGGATTTCTGTTATAACATCATATTAACAGAAACCATTATTTATTTTACTAACGTAAACAGTTTTTTATAATATAGCAAAACAATATTTAAAATTAATATTATTTGACAGTAACACTATCCATTTTTGTTAAACTAAAGTAGTTATGTATTTCTACGAATTTGTTGAATATTATGATGTTACTTAAATTATTAATACCATCATCAAGGTATATTAGTTATCATATAGTACATGCTGTAATGGTATATTATGCACATATTATTCCCACTTAATGTGTACTATTATTTGTATAATAATCAAATTAGATTCTCTGAGAGAGATTGCTTTTTGATAAGATCGACTATTGTGTTTACTTTCTAACACATATCATTACATTTAATAATAGTAATAATCCAGGACTATTTATATAGAATGATCTAGTACCAAACTATGCAGAGCTTGTAGTAAATAAATGTTTTTTTTTAAACAGACACAATACATTTAATAGAGCAATACAAACAATCATATATTTTTTTAGGGAATGATAATGGAATGGTGCACCACCCGTATGAGCTAACAGTTGTTTTTTACCTTGGCGGGGCACCAGTGGAGGTTGATAAGATGAGCATGAGATCAGGTCATTTAGCTCGTCATGGTAAATTCACTATAAATTTATCACGATGGTTTCCAGGGGGCGTCCTATTATCCCACATTGGTGCCCCACCAGCGTATAATGTTAGCAGAGGCGGGTGTTTTATACAAAATTCATCCACCAAAAACAAAGTAATACTCGTGAATTTGTAATATAAGAGAGTCGAATCCGCGGTTGTTGGAAATAAAGCGGTATGTTGGCGGGTACACCATACAATATTGATTAACCAAAAACAAAATCATACTCATGAATATAAATGTATGTATCATTCGAGAATTGAAGCTGTTATTGGAAGTAAGGTGGTGTGCTAAACAGCTAAGCTACCCAGACCGTCAATCCATTACCTCTTTTTGAGCAGTAATAAGTTCTTATTGTTGTTCATTGTCATAAATAATTATTGTATGTTTGTATACATCATTACAATCTAATTATACATCACTAGCTACTCGCCCTGGCTTCGTCCGGGTGTACATGTACTAAATATATAAACCTTCCTCTAGAATGACTCTATCTATTAAAAAAACCGCTTCAAAATCCGTTGCGTAGTTTTAAAGATTTAAGCATACATAAGGACGGACAGACAGCAACAGCGACTTTGTTTTATACTATGTAATGTAATGATGATTAGTATTATTAGTAAAGAAAACAATTAAACTCCGAAACTGGTACTAGTTTTGCCGGCCTCTGTGTTCTATTGTTTAGCACACCGCTCTACTCCCGATGGACGCGGATTCGATACCTCGCACAATGCAAGCATTAGTATTCATAAGTATGATTGTTGTTTGCATTGGATGTTCTCTGTGTATATTATATAAAAAAAGTATTTAAGTATTTCTATCAGTTGTCTAGTTACTCATCACACATGCTCTGCTTAGCTTGGGATCAGATAGCGCTGTGTGATTTCTCCAATGTTATTTATTATTATTATTCTCTACATAACATTACTACTAAATTTTCCGTTACGATTTCAATAGTTGTATTAAACTACATAATACATAATATTACTTGAAATTAAATTTCAATATTTGATTATAAGTTGTAGTAAGTTCTAGTTAATAGGTATGATTAAAAATTTGTGTACAAATTGAAACTCTTAACAATTAATAGATTTGAAGTGTCTACAAGTATACCTTGTCAGTTTATTAATTACTAAATTGCTGTTGGAGTTGTATTGCTTTCAAAAGGTTTGTCGGAGTACCGAATAGCGATTGAACGATCACTAACAAACAATAACTAAGTTTTCTCATTTCAAGTTGGGACAATTATCTAGAAGTTTCCTATCCCGTTATTGATAAATCGAACTACAATCTATATCCTAAAACTACTCGTACGTTAAACTAGCTCTTAAGGATGAGTACACATTTTTTTTTTTCAATTTCATTAGTATTGGCGATAAAGAGGTATTCACGCAAATGACGTTGTATAAAGTCTCGTTACAGTTTCGACACTAAGGAATTAGGGAAATATTAGGATGAATTGAGTATTGTTTCATTATGTGAAAGAGATATCATCGTTGTTGTTTTTTTATTGTATTCATTTACTAATAAAGGCTATAACAAAATAGCAGAGAGTATATCACTACCCTACACTACTCTGAGTTATAGACCGTTTTGTCTCGATTTCTTTGTTATAAGCAGCAATTGTAATAGTTTATATTAATATAAATAAATATGATTATTATTATTATTACGGGTAATAGTCCATTAAATATAAATAATACTATGTTATCAGTTGCAGATGACCTATCTGTGTTTAGTTGGAAACCTCTAACATATGATAGTAGTGACCTTTGGGTCGTATAAAAATTGAACGGATTTCCGGCTATTGTAGATAAGAGACGCAGCAAACTTAACTAGTTATAAAGTTGATTAATTAAAAGTATGTACCTACTATATGTTTGAATGGCATTTACTTTGTTTGATCTTTGCTCTTCTCATTTATTTTCTTTCATTATTTGTACGTTTACGTACGTACCCAAACATTATTACAGTTTCTTAATATCAGTTTCGCCCAAACATTTATATCCTACATTTATTTTCAAGTCAATTATTCTTTCAGAATCAGATACAAAATACTTAATTTTTTACTGTTTTTTAATCTCTGAACATTTTTATACCTCTAGTTGAAGATGAATTAACATCTAACTAAAGATTTTGAATTATTACCATCTTTATTGACATTTTACTCAGCGGCCTGGTCTATTAACGTTATTATAGTGAATATATAACATGCACATGTTTAGTGCGTCTGTTGAAATATTAATAATTATATAAAAAAAAATTTTGGACTTTATTGTTTTTATGTAATTGCAATTCTCCCTGCTGATATGGTTAAAAAATCAAGTTATCACGAAAAATTGTACAGTGTATAGTATGAAAGAATAACCTTTTGCTTTTTGCCTTGAAAACTAACTTTACTCATGCGAAAAAGAGTCATATGGGAAATCCAACGTGGTAGGAGGTGAGCCTAAAAATTGCATGTTTTAATGTTTGTTGCACAATAATTATTAAATGGTCGAACATACTTTAATAATATGACATAATATCAAGAATGATACGTAAGATGCTTTTTTATGTTAATTTACGTAGTATAGGAAAAGTAAGAATAAACGTATAATATAATGTGTTAGTTAAGAATATAATTTGGGACGAAAAGACGAAATATTGCACCTATGTTTAAAGAGTGGAACATCATAAACCGAATATGAAACAAGTCCAATTAAATTATCTGGCGGGTGTATGCGCGATTATATGATTTCAAGTTAACTTTGCCTTTTCATTTTATGCATAAATTTAATGTTTGTCTGTATAGTTATGTGCATAAATTAATAAACTTAAAGGCAAAATTCGTTTGTTAGGAATTAGATAATTCTATTACAAGTTGAAACGAGAATTTCTGTGTTTGTTCATTCACTTCATATGAGTAGAGTATTGATTTACACCGATATTAAATTGGTTTATTCTCAACCTACTCGTACTTTAATGAAAAACAGTTCTCAAGTCGGCCAGTTTCTTAATTACTGAAAATGTTTCTTTTGAAAGCTGATCCTCGAAAAAACCTCTTAGATTGTTCGTTTTTTAGAAATTTGATTGGTATTGAACGTGTAGTTTTTAAGTTATTCTTAATAATAATATTGAACGCGAGGTTTTCGTGCCCTCAATACTCTATTATTTATATTTTTTTAATTAAAGAAACAAAAATCTGTTATATCTTTTGTCAGACACGTTAAATTTTCTTAACTTACTAAATATTTCAAATTATTTATATTGTACTTTATATTTCTTTAATAGGCTACACAAACTATAATTATTTTCCGTATATTATCTTTTTACTACACATACAACTGTGATTGACGTTATTATCTTACGCCGTTGTGTTTTGCCAGAAAATATTGTTTATATAGTTAATTCACTATAAAAATAATTGTCCTACAGCTAATCCTTTTTATCTGTGATATGTTATACATCTCTACGAACGTACTTTATCATATAATATAATCTACACGGTCATAATTATGAAGTTAGGGTTGCCATCAACCTGGCCTTTTTTCAATTAGAAGTAAATCGGAAGAAGCACTTTAAAAATGAAACGATTTCTAATAAATTACAATCAAATTTATATGGGGTTTAAATCTCCGAATAGCAAATATTACAAATTCGGCAAGCATATAAAATTGTTGGTTTTAATTTTTCTTCTTTTCTTTTCAACTGGAGCGGGAAAAATCTAGTTAACGCTCAAATATTCAGGGTTTTTAAAGTATTAGACAATATCCGTTTAGTCAATAATGCCAACCCTATATAAACTGTAAGCAAGAATGTATTTGACCTCCAAAGCAATGTTATAGAATAATATGGTGAGCTGCATTGTTTATTTACCAATTATACTTATCAAATGGAGTGAGAAAATTGAATCAAACTAATATAATAATTATAATGGATATTTTATCAAAAACAATTGCTTTGTAGAGTTTAGTGAATGTATTACAGAGGGTGTACCTGTCTTCGCAAACGATACAATAGAAATGTTGTCGTGGCGTGGTCGTCCTGTCATCTTTTACTAATACCAAATATTAGTAAAAGATGACAGGACGACCACGCCATCAGGTCGGTTCGCCCATCGTGATGAATTCACGAGGAATTAATCACGATGTTTCCAGGGGACATGACGTCGTATATTGCTCGAAATGGGGTCACCAAATCCCATTACTAGGAATTCCTTTCACCCTATCATACGTGAACGTTTGGAAATTAGATTCTAGTGACTACAACAAAACTTTGCTAGATGACATGTAGAATTCAAACTGCGCAGACAAAGATTACTGTTTTTCAATAAAATCTATGACGAAATTCTCAATTCATAAATATTTATTTAGATACCTTTGAAAAGAATGAAAAGCTAAACGAAATTTTTCAACGATAAGCTCTCTTCGTATTTTGTTTTAGACATGATTGTTTTGCAATATTGCATATAACAAGCAAAAAAGGGATAAAACATAAATTGGTCATTTGTTATTCTATAACGTTTATTTTCATGCTCTTAGAAGTATTTGTTATTGTATACAATTTTTAAATTATCAAACAAACTCATATACATACAGTTTTGTTTGATAATTTAAAAATGTTAAAACAAACAATAACAAATAATAGGTTGTTATACTTATTTAAAATACAATAAACTTATTTTTCAAACAAATTATTCTCATTAAAAGTAAGAAACATAAGAATAAAGGGTCTTTATCGAGCAATATGTATTGATATTTTATACATACAATATTAAATAGCGAAAGTGTGTCCTTTGACCTTTTCAAGGCTCAACGACTGAACAGATCTTAATGAAATTTAAAATGAAGATAGATCATATTACGAGAACGGACACAGGCTATCTTTTATCTCAAAAAATTTGGGTGCTGGGGAAATCGGGGTTGAAAGATTTTGCAAGCGAAGTTGCTGGTAGCAACGAGTATTCTATGTACTTATTACTCTATAAAACATAATAATTACAATTGTCCTGTCATTGCATTTCATTATTTATTTCATTAGAAATCATTACTACCTTATCTAGGTATTAATAATTTCTATTATATAAAGTTTCGAGTAAACTTAAAAATTTCTGAAGTATTTTGAAATATGCTTTCTTTAAATAGTAGTGACTGCATTATAAACGTAATCTGAGGAATTAAATATACGTAATAGCTTTATTTATATTTTGTGATTACATATTTAAATGCATAGTGTTGACATTTAACAAGATATTCTTTTAAAAAATTAATAATAATTCCTCTAGTTTCTTTTATAAAGTAAAATCATATGATACTAACAAACTGTGAGTCATCACTATTATAAGATTTTTTATACTGTAAAGAAGATATTGCATGTACTGTATATTTTATAAAAGTCAGCCAATGATCACAGATACTTACAAAATTAATGCTACGATTGTGATAAATATCAATATCCGTAGCTTTGTGAATTGGCGCATGACTGTATTGACTGTATTCAGCATTACAGCGACAAGCAGCGATTTCTGTTGTTAGCAAAGTACCACTCGCCTTTGTTACTGTTTACTGAACCTTTGAAATATCTTTTACAATTTGTTGCCCACCATTCTGCCCGTAGAACTTGAATTATTGTTGCAAACGTTTAGAATTGTGTGATTTAGATTTCTAGATCACGTTCCAATTTCGGTTTATTTATTTATAAGATCTTTTGTATTTAAAATATTGCAATTTTATCTTGGTAAATGTGGACTTGTCAAATGTCCCTTTCACTATCATGACTACAACAGTTGAAAATATCTTTCTCTACCTCATCTAAGACAAGAGTCGTGTTGATTATTAGAAATTGTATCTGATTTACTTAAAAAGTTTTATTTTAATAGCATATCCTACAATTTATGCTAAATAATCCTAATTTATCCTAAATATCTTATATTAAAAATAAATCTCATGATATTTCTACGAATGGAAAAGAGATAAGAAGTAATGATCTATTGCTCTGAATTTATGTAAATAAACTTAGTGTTCCTTGGCAGAAATTTGTGGTTGCGTCTGTTTAGGCGGCGACGTGCCTCGCTGGGCAAAAAGTAATGTATAATTTAACCAAAATTGCTTCTCAAAGGGATGGTCCTATTCGCGAAAAGTGCAAATCGTGATTCTTTATATTTCAGTCATAAAAGATTCTTTTAAAGTATTTAGAATGTGACTGTACCTTTAACTATATTTACGATTGTCCTTGTTATTAATATTGTTAACATGATAATGTTTGATTATTACTATAATAAGTCATATTCATTTGCTATAATATTTTAATTATTATCGTTAGCAGTAAGACAGCGATATAAACATGTTTGCTTTACATACATTATCCAATAGTATGCTATTATTTTATCTTTTGGTACGTTAAAAGAAAGAGAGAAAATAGCATATAAAATAAACAGAATAAATAAAAGTATAATATTAGAAAGTATATAAAAATATATCTACAGTTTTGTTTTATTAAATAGTAACAAACGATTCAAAAATAAGACTATATTACCTTTTTACAGCGTGCTAGTGCGACGATGGTGATCAAATTCCCTGGAATACCAACCAACATGAACAGCACGCAGCACACAGAGGCAAATCTCAACAGAGCCTCAGGGTAGTCTTTGAACAACTCCACATCTGCCAGTGCCTGGTCTGTGGTATATTCATCCAGGCCCACAACACTCCAATTATGGACGTCTAGTTCACTAGCAAACGTGCTTTTAGGTATACTAGGTAGCAAGTCACCCATTTTAAATCTTTATTGCACATCATTTGAACAGAATGTACGGATATGGCCCATTTAAGTGGCCGCGCGGTCCGCTTTCGTTCGCGACTGATACTTGGGTCCGACCACGAGTATGACAGTGTGTGTTCCTTGATAAGCTATTTCGATGTACGAGGTTATCATTTCCAACTGCTCAGGAAGTGTCCGTATCTCCGTCATGTTGCTCTCGTTGTTGATATCTGTTGAGATAAACGGAGATCGTTAGTTTTAATGTAAAGAGCAGTTGCACAATGTAATCATAACACGGAAGGATTAGATGAGCTAATTTACTTCAATCTGAACTAATAATGCTATCGTAGTCAGGGGTATTTTCTTGTAATAATTTAAGGGTAATAGGTATCTAACAGAATATGGAAAATCTGGATTTACTGACTAATACAAGCAATCGTAGATATGAATACAAATCTTAGTAGTGTGTGAGTTTCGAACCCGCGATTATTAGAATTACGGCGGTGTGATATATTACTAAACATTCGCGGCCGTCATAATACGTTGAAAGTATACGTAATATTATGAGATATATTACAGTCATATCTATCTAATATGACCTCTCTTTATAGTAAGAGCTACACTATTACTCATATGAGTGTTTCAGAAGTTTGAAATGTTTGCTCCAGTCACGTCTTAATGCAAATGGATGACAGATAGAAGTAATTTGGGTTGAAGGGCCGACCACTCTGAAGGTAATCTGAAAGCCGCGGTTGTGCTGACATTGACTAATTGATTGTCAGTTCCGACTGTCGGTCTGTCGTATATTCGACAGTTCAGGCAAGTGGCTTAATAATTCGCTTGTGGTTCAATCATACTAGAGTTTCTACGACTTCTTAAGAGTCTAAGCCAAACTTTGAGAGAAATGTTGGGTAAGTATAGTTATATTTATCGTTTGTATTTTAATTATAAATATCTATTGATATTTGAGTGGCGTAGCGGTTTAGCATACCGCTTTACTTCCGATGGTCGCAGTTTCGATCCCTCGTATAGTGCAAACATTTGGATTCAGATTCAACATTGGTTTTGAACTTTGGCGTTGAATTGAAAACTATTATATACTTTCTAGGGTCCAAGTTTCCATTCCATTAGAGATAATATTTTTTGATAGATGATAATGGAATGGTGCATCCACCTGTACTAACGGTGTACGGTAGCGGTCAGGTCAGTTATCCCATCGTGGTGAATTCAACAAAAATTAATCACGATTATTTCCAGGAGGACACCGGTTGGAAGCACACCGATACGGTGCATTGCTAGCAATCGCATGACTATGTCCCTTTCTTTAAAATCTTCTTCCTCATTAATAGAGAAGGCTGAGACAGTAGTATTTGTATTCTTTCCATTAAATCTATAAGATATAAGATTAAAAGTTTGTGATTTATCTATGATTGGTTTATTAAACTGTGATCAGCTACGTCGAAGATTTAAATAGGAGAAGAATGACATCAGTTTCCATAAGGACATCGTAAAGCTATAATATTAAATATCAGGTGTGGAAGCAATGTTTTAAAAGTCCGTATTTGTCTTACGTGCCCGTTCTTAATACCTGTTACATTTAACAGTATTTCAAACTCTTTAGGCCACTAGGGCGCGCTCAATTAGGGAACGCAGTAAAAGGGCACTTTGCGAATCTCCCCTAAGGTCAGTGACAGTTATTAATGAGTTGACCCGAGGCCTGTGTCCATTCAACATCACCCACGCGCTACCTACCGCAAACTACGGTAACAGTATGTAAACACACCGTGACGTTGTTTTAACTAATGGTGAAAAGAGATGTCATAATTCTATATACTATCCTCTATACTATTATTATGACGGCACCGGTGGTTTAGCGGTTTTGTTCACCGCTTTACTTCCGAGGGTTCGTTTCCTCGCAGGTTACAAATATTTGTATTCATGAGTATAATCGTCTGTATTGGTCAGGGTATATTCTATGTATGTTACGTATGTATTTACAAAATATATATACATGTTAGTTGTCTAGTACCCCAACACAAGCTCCGCTTAGCGTAAATCTATAGAGCGCTGTGTAAATCCCAACTGTGAAAATCCCAATGTGACTTTACATATAGGTACGTGATATTTCCAAACTCGAAAATCAACTTAATATCCTTGAGTCTTGTCAAATTTGATTTTTTAACGCCAACATTGGCATTCTGCATCAAGCTATATTTATTTTTTATAGATCATAATCGAATTATCCCGCCTTCACCAACAGTTTACACTGGTGTCGTACTAGGGGAGAATGAGACGAACATGAGGTCAGGTAATGATGGGGGAATCACATGGATGTCAACCTGACATGGTACATTACTAGAAATGGAGTTAACAGTCCACATTACTAACAACCCCCTTCCGCCAACAAAAAAATTATCTAATGTAAATAGGTGATTTTTTTTAAAACGACTTTTAATATAAAAAAATCGTTTTAAAAAAAATCACCTACTTTTGAACTTTATCATCAAACACTAGCCTTACATAAGAGTCTCATAACCTCTTTCCTATCTCATGTCAGAGATCTCCTATATATTGTAATGTTACCTGTCATAGATATTCTAATGTTAGAATTTTAGACCGGAAAAATAAGGTTGGAATTAATTTCCTACATTGTACCCAAGTATGTAGAACTGGACTGGCTACATAGTACATCAAGAGGCGACGATAAGTCAATAATACTGGCCTCTGTCTAGAGGTCTCTGGTCCTAAACGGTAGGGTCAGGCGGAATTCCGGGCGAGCGTCAGATTCAATTTGGAACCCACCCTTCGGCGGTCGGTCCGCATCATTTGAACAGAATTTACTGAACTGATTGATTTTCTTGTACCGAAATGATTATCTATGAAAGTGTTATAATATTGATTAATTATTAATTACGATTAAAAAAACAATACGTTTTCAGAAAATAAGTATGGTAATGAAAAAGGGAATGAAGCCGGTACATTGAAAACGATACCGAGTTTTAACACCAATTATGTTTATATTGTATTTTTTTTATGTTATTGTAAGGGCCTATAAGGCTCGCCTGGTGGTAAGTGGCACTACGGACATTATCACGTGACATCAGCAATACCAATCGTGCCATTGCGAATAGTTAAGATGTTTTGCCTCCTATACTGTAATTTTTATGAATACGTATTAATTATTAGGTAGTTCTATATCTATCAATGTATCTTCATCTCAAATTTTATTAATGTCCGTTTAATCGTTTAGTCATGATTAATAAAAATAGATAGACTTACTTTCAGATACATAAAATTATTATAATTTTGTGAACACTTACAGATATTGATATCTATGTATTCATATATATATATATATATATATATATAATATATTATACTATTTTAACCAAATAATTAAATATTAATGTGACAACAGAAATCCAGAATAAATACATAATCCTTTACAACTCGCGCTAAAAGCGGCAAACGATATGTGCACATATATATAGAGTTACCATAGACGTGATATTATTCAATCCACAAATGTAGATGAAGGAAAAATAAGGGTAACCTAGTTATAAAAGTTGCTCATATTATAAAACAACTTCCCACCTCCCCGTGACAGAAGATGGTGGGGTGAATGATTGATGCTCTGAAAAGTTTCGCGGAAAGTAATGTCCAGCTGTGTTCAGTTAAAACTGAATGGATTTTTGATATGTTTGTTTGATATTGTCGATTAGAATTAAAAAATATAAAAATTTAAGAACTAACTATATGTCTACCATCAAAAACAGAAAGAAGGTTAAGGATACAGTTACTACATATTGTAATAAGCGATCCTCGCTACTAATTTATTACATTTTTCATTGCAGCTCCAATCACTAGACCGATTTGAAAATTTCTTTCAACACTTGAACCTCCATAGTGACAGCATGACAGGCACAAAATCATGTGTACTCGGGCGAAGCCGGGGTGGGCCATCAGTATACTAATGAACATTATTGTTTATTCATGTTCAGTACCTATATATATATGTATGTATATTAAAAATGTAGATTCGACGTGATAACTACTGGGTTATTATTGCTCTTTGAGGATTTAATGAACACAATTTGAGACTGGCGTTAACGAGGTTTATAAAATTTAATTTTCACACAATTTCCTTTACCTTTGTTGTGCAGAAATGAATTTAAGAAATGATTTGGGATTTACAGGGTTAGGTAGTTGATTGCTTAAAGGACGCGTTAATAATAAATATTCTAAGTGACTATCAGACTAAACGGAAAATGATAAAATAAAAAGATTTATGTTTTTAATTTGTTAAAAATTTAGCGTTTTTCTTACAATTACTAAATTTATTCGTTTACACAAGCTGACCTGTATCCTTTGTGAGTGATTACTAGCTGTGCCCACGGTTTCACCCGCGTCAATTATAGCTATGTGTTATTCTGATGTATAAACTATATAATCGTAAAGTTTTATTAAAATCTATTCAGTAGTGTTTGCTTAAAAGAGCTACTAACATCTATCCATCCATACTAAAAAACTTTCGCGTTTATAATATTAGTAAGATTAATCGTTTTAATAAAAAAAAGTAGAAAGAACATATAGCAACATGCTTTTTGTTACTGTTTTTGCATTAAGACGACAAGCGGAGTTTCCGCATTAGACACGCTTGGCAAATAAACATTTAGATAAAAAATCTTAACGTTAATATTTCCATGACCTTAATGAGAATTTGTTCTGAATAATAAGCCCAACCTCTCAAGAAATTTCAATAATTTGATCTATAAAGGATTGAACCCTCTCCGGGTTATAGAGGTCGTAAGACGTAAAGCATCAAATATTTTGTTATACATCGAGAAAAGTGAGGTTTCTTTGTTGATAATATTAATATTGTAAGTAGGTAATCGATTTTAGTCGCATTGAAATATTCATATGTGGATTTTGATTCAGTAGCTAATAATTTGTCATATAAATAAAAGCACGAATTAATTTTCAAATAGTCAAGATTTGAGGTCTGTATTCAGGAGGTTATATCTGAACTAAATTACCGTATCATGTTAATAGAATAGTACACTCACCTGCAGTAACTATACAGTTACGATAGCGGGGTACTAATTAGAGAATAATTAAATAAGAACGTCAGATGGAACCAAGTGGAGGTCA